TCTTGCAACAGGCGCGAACACTTCGTCATAGTCAATGCCAGCTTTCTGCTTGTATCCCTTTGCAACCAGTCGTGCCTTGTATCTTTCGATCTCTCCTTGGGCGTTCATTTTTTTCTTAAATACCCACTTTACACCAATGGGTTGACTTCCTTTTGGTAATTCGACCAGCTCCTAAGTTTTGTTGTGTTCGATTGCTTTAATTTCTTCGTCCATGGCGTTTTTCCACTTCTCATCCCTTAACGCTTCTTCAACACTTATGTTTTCAGCATCTGCCAGAAGGCACACAAGATGCACCTCACTTGTTGACTCATACAGATCTTGCAAACTTCTCATTCTGGGTTGTAGAGGTTCATCTCTATCTTCTGTTTCTTCATGTTCTTCTGGAGTGTTTGTTGGTACAGCTATAGTTATTTCTTCGACTGTGTCACCAACCTCTGTCGAAGTGTTCCAGTCCCACTTGCTGGCTTCATTCATTCGAACGTCTCTGCTTACAACCACTTTCTTACTTATGGGATTAAAAAGCTTGTACCCCTTCGTCTTCTCATCATATCCAATGAATATGAACTTCTGACTTTTGTCTTCGAGCTTTGTTCTTCGTTGGTCTGGTACACGCGCATAAGCTATGCTACCAAACACTTTGAGATGGGAGATTGTTGGCTTTTGTTTACTCCATGTTTCTTGTGGTGTTTTGTCTTCCAGATTCGAATGTGGACACCTATTCTGAATGTAAACAGCACATTGTACTGCTTCTGCCCAGAACTCTTTCAACATACTCTTGCTTTTAAGCATTGATCGAACCATATCAAAGATAGTTCGATTCTTCCTTTCAGCCACACCATTTTGCTGAGGTGAATATGGTGCAGTAAGGAATCTTCTTATGCCCTGTTCTTCACAGTACTTCACAAAGGCAATCGAAGTATACTCTCCTCCTCTGTCTGATCGAATTGATTTGATGTTTCTTTCTGTTGCCTTTTCCACCATTACTTTGAATTTCTTGAACACTTCTAGTGCTTCAGATTTTTCTTTCAGAAAATAGACCCAGGTTTTTCTTGAGTAGTCATCAATGAAGGAAATGAAATACTTCTTTCCACTGAAGGATTCTGGAGTAATTGGCCCACATATATCAGTATGTATCAATTCGAGTATCTGTTTGGCTTGATACTCTGCCTTCTTCTGAAATGAGGTTCTGGTTTGTTTGCTGAGCACACATTCTTCACAGAATTTTCCTTCGAACTCCATGTCTGGAAGTCCATGCACCATGTTTCTTTTCGCCAATCTTCTCAGACCAGCATGATGTAGGTGACCAAAGCGCATGTGCCACAGTGACGCTTTGTCTTGCACTTCGATCTGCAGACATTTCTCTCGAATGTTCCTCAAGTTAAGTTTGTACATTCGATTTCTCTCCATTTCGACAGCAGCAATTAGATATCCTATTTTGTCCTTCAACTGCAGTGTTCGATCTTTCATCAGGATCGAAGCACCCTTTTCAGTGAGTTGTCCCAGACTTAATATGTTGGTCTTAAGGTCTGGTACATAGTAGACATCTTCGATTGACCCAATCAAGCCATCCTTCTGCAAATAGCTGATTGTGCCCTTTCCTTCAACTTTTACCTTCGATGCATCTCCAAAAGACACGCTGCCATCTTCAACTCCCTTCATATCTTTAAACAGGTGTTTGTAACCACACATGTGATTACTTGCTCCTGAGTCAAGATACCAAATACTGTCATTGGTGTTGATTTCGTTTTGGGCCATCAGGAGAAACCCTTCATTCGATTCAGCTTCCAAAGCCAGATTGGTTGTCTCTTCAGTCTTCTTTTCATTTCGACAGTCTTTTACAAGATGTCCCACTTTGTCACAATTGTAACATTTGTAGGAGTTGCAATCCTTCGCGTAATGGCCACACTTGTAGCATTCGAAATTTGAATAATTCGAACGACCACCTCTTTGGCCACGTCCTCTGCCACGCCAGTTTTGTTGGCTCGAATTTCCTCTTTCGAAGTTACTGCCTCTACCACTTCGACCACTGTCACGTCCTCCACGTCCACGTCCTCTTCCTCGAAAGTTGTTCGAGAAGAGTACTTTTTCATCTTTTGATTCTTTTGTTTGGTTTGCTTCTTCGTCTGCCTCTTCTTTCTTCTTCATCTTTCTTTGTTCATGTGCTTCGAGCGAACCAGTGAGCTCTTCGATTGAGAGCGTCGAAAGGTCCTTCGATTCTTCTATTGCACACACCAGATTCTCAAACTTGTCTGTTAAAGATCTTAATATCTTTTCAACAACTCTTGCATCAGCTACTGTCTCACCATTTCTTGTGAGTTGATTCACCACTTTCTGCACACGAGTGATGTAATCTGATACATTTTCTGTATCCTTCATTTTTATCCTCTCCAATTCGCCACGAAGCGTTTGGAGTCGAACCTGCTTTACTTTGTCTGCTCCTTTGAACACCTTCTCTAACGTGTCCCACGCTTGTTTCGACGTAGTCGAACTAGCAATCTTCTCAAAGCCTGATTCATCCACAGTCCTGAACAACATATATAGTGCTGTTTTGTCCTTCGCTCGCGTCTCTTTCAACGCCTTCGTTTGGGCTGTTGTATATCCTCCAATTTCTGTTGGTTCTTCAAACCCATCATTGGTCACTTCCTACGCATCTAGAGATCCAAGAAGAGCTTTCATTTGGATGCTCCAGTTTTCATAGTTTGACTTCGTTAGCCGTGGTAACGGCATTTGGTTCATCATGTTCGCCATGAGCTCTGATGCCAATTTGTAGAATTTTAATCAGACTTTGTATACTTTTAACTTCTTGTATATTGCTCTTAGTGAATAAATTACACACACTTGGTCTTTTGTAGACTCAAACAAAACCTTTACAATTCTAAAACAGTAAATTAAACAACATAACTGCTACATAACTACAAAAAAAAACTAATGCCTTTCCTACTACCATAGTTAATACTAATCATTTATTTCTAACCCATTTAATGTTTTATTTCAACACTCACACCAGTCATTTGAAAGAACTGTGGCCTAACAGAATGTATGTTATTTCTAGCTTATACTGGCCTATTTATATGAACTTTTTAGCATATCATATCATGTTGGGTAATCTTTTCTATTTGATATTAATAAGGTTGTTCCTATTATGTGATGATGTAAGTTTAATTAAACTGAATTGTTTTCCGTGCTTTCTGCGTATTGTGTAGATACGAGTACAAGATAGGACACAAACTCAAGAATGGAACATACATTTGGAGCAAACAGTATCAGTTTAGAGCAGCTCCCTTTCCCGGGCAGAAGTCTTTGCAACATGTAGTTAATATTTGGTGATATCGGGAAGGTTTGAACTTTGAAGTGTTAGATTCAAAGAAAAGTTAAGATTGATAATGGATTGCATCTCTGTTGCAGTTTCAAGTTTCTGGTTAACTCTTCAGATTATAATTCTTTACGTGTGAGATATATTATGAGATTCTATTTGCTTGGATGTGAACTGTAATTGTATTATCATGCAGGAGGAAGTTGATGGTTCCAATGAATTCCAATGAATACAATATCTTTCTCAGTGGGATCAATTTACAGCACAAGTGGAACCAATTGCATCAACTGTGCCTTACATGATTGCAAGGTTTTTTTATGGCACACTTCAAAAATCAGTCAAGGAAGTACTTTTCTTTGAATAACAAAATGAAATTCTAGTAATGTGGTTTTCCAGTGGGAACCATGAGCGTGACTGGCCTGGGTCGGGATCCTTCTATGAGAACATGGATTCTGGAGGAGAATGTGGTGTTTTGGCAGAGACTATGTTCTATGTCCCTGCTTCAAACAGGGTTAAATTCTGGTATTTCAGACACTATCTTATGTTACCTTCTGTTGGATTTAAAGATTTGCAATGATTGAGATGAAACTTAATATGATTGATAGGTGAAACTTTCACTGTAAACTGATGTTACATTTTTCTACTCTTGTTTGCCAGGTATTCAATTGACTATGGCATGTTCCATTTCTGTGTTGCTGACACTGAACATGACTGGAGAGAAGGAACAGAGCAATACAAGTTCGTTGAGCATTGTTTGGCGTCAGTTGACCGACAAAAACAGCCATGGCTAATCTTCCTTGCACATCGGGTACTTGGTTATTCTTCTTGTATTTGTTATGCAGAAGAGGGATCATTTGCTGAACCAATGGGAAGAGAGAGCCTCCAAAAGCTGTGGCAGAAATACAAATAGCATGTTTGGAATGGCGTTTACATTTATCCACCACACGTTTGAAAGCTGCTTCACCGCGAAAACAAGAAGCTACAAAGTGTAGCTTCTGCTCCAAACACACTAAAAGTAGACATTGCCATCTATGGTCATGTGCATAATTATGAGAGGACATGTCCCATATACCAGGTTTATTCAACTTCATGAAAATTATCCATCCTTCCAAATTTTGCCAAATTAAGAATGAATGTGAATATTATCAATACTAAGGAGTGTTTGTGTTTTTTTTTATTTTATTTTTATTTTTTTTATTTTAATCTTTTGCATGTTGATACAAAATATCTGCACTAGTGAAGAGAAACACAACTATAAAGGAGCCTTAAATGGGACCATACACATTGTTGCCGGAGGCGGGGGAGCAAGTCTATCAACATTTACTTCTATCAAAACCAAATGGAGCATCTTTAAAGACTATATGGATTTGTAAAACCAACTGCATTTAATCATTCAACTTTGCTGTTTGAGTACAAGAAGAGCAGAGATGAGAAGGTTTACGACTCTTTCAAAATATCACGGGATTACAGAGACATCTTGGCTTGCACCATGGATAGTTGTCCAAGTGCGACGATGGCTTCGTGATTGATGAAATGACAACAACTTTATTGCATCTAGTCGAGTGAAAACATTGCTTGGATTATCTTCGACAAACAAACAAATATGTAAATAATATACAATTGCTAGTCATGTCACCTTGACCAAGTTGGCTTTGATAGAATGCACGATTAATCTACTGTTGAATTTTTATTCTGGAAGCACTTTTTTGTATCTAAAATAGGATAGTAAGGAGAAATACAATGCTACACAACCAATTCCAGTAATTACCATAACCCAGTTGAATCCAGATGAGTAGTCAAAAACTGAGGTTTTAAAGTTCATTCCAAATACTCCTGTCACTGCGGCAAATATTGCAGCCACCATTGTGGCTGCTGTAAGAAGCATCTCAAACTTTATTAGGAGGTTTTGAATATTCCCCTGTAACAGATAGAGTGAAAAGTTCAGAATATATCAAATAAATAGAGTGACAGAAGAATGTTGCTAATTGTTAATCTTAACCTACCAGTTTTATGTTGAGAAAATCTTCAGTGTCGTCTATGTATTCTTTGAGCTGCATTACCAGCAAGAGTATTATTATCAATGAAGTTAAGCAATGTGGGTAAATTCTAAAACTACAGCTCTGAATAAAGTCAATTTTTTCATACCGACGATAATGTATTGAGAGTATTATCAATGACGATAAAGTATGCTTCCAGCAACATTTCCAGTGGCTGAATCCTTTCTCCATTATCAGATGAACTTGTTGTACTACCATATTTACTTGAATTTCCGATACTGCTGCTGAAAGTCCTACGCAACATCTGTAAGCCACTAACTGACTGCTCCGGTGAAGTAGGATCTGATTTCGAAATCACTTTGCCTGATGATGTACGGCTTAGATTACAATCACTTGAAGGGTAGGCATCTGATCTTCTCCTTTTCTCAGTCAGGCACATCTCAGCCATGTCACCATCGTCATCCATGAGATGTTCTATTTCATCACGAACCTGATAACTTTACATAAGTTACTAGTTGCAGGTTACGGAAAGCTAGAAAGAAAAAATATATGAGAATTAAAGATGAGAATTCCACGTTGATCAACCTTCTGAACCCGCTGAGTCAAAGCAAGAAGGTGACCTTTGAATCTTCGAACACGTTCCAGAAGGAGAGTACTGATAGATGAGGCCAGTTCATCTAGCACGGGATATATTTCCATTTCTAATTCATTTACCTATCAATAAAAACCATTCTTAATATAACATTGCTGCCAATTATAATATTTATGGAAAATGAATTATTACAGATCAGTGCCAAAACTGCGGAGGTTTCCCCGAAATAGTACGGTTTGTGGTCAGTTAATACCTGTGCATCTAAAGATGTGCATGTCAATTCCAGAGCCAACTCCAGCGCCCTAAATTCAAAGGGAAGATCATCTGTTCAAAAACAGAAACATGGTAAGCAATTCAATGCAGTAACTACCTCAATCGAAAAACTTTACAATTATACAGCAAAAAGAGGAAGAATCTTTACCAGACTTTTCTTTCCTGAGCCGATTGCATAACTGTGACCTATACCGACCAACAGTCCCATCCAGTGAATTCATGAGAATCACTTCATCCGCAGTGATTATACACCTGATTTGCTCAAGGTTAACAACAATAGCCATCTCCCTTCCTAATATGGAAGAAGGATAAATAAACATGGGATCCAATAATCGAAGATCTCTCGAAGGCAAAGAACAATCTCTCATAATAGTAGCCTTGTCAAGCGTCACAACCTCAGAATTTCCATCCTGATCGATTTTTATCCAAGAACGACTCACATGACCTCTCTTCTTCAGACCTGTTACACCAGTCCTATGATTCCCTTGCCTGTTAAAATCATACTCGGGTGGATCGGAAACACAATACTCGCCTTGTGTTTCTTCCATCGCATCATACATTTTACTCCTGAATCTGATACAAGTACTTTTTCACCATTAACTAATCAAGCATTCATTTCCACAACAACCCTTAATCAATAAAAAATGAAACAATTATAAAAAATATGAAATAGTTGAATTGAACATAATTGAAGTAAATATAACACTAAAAATCACAACTTTAATTAATATCTTGAATACCCATTTTCCCTACTCAACTATTTCCCTTAATTTCAATCAAGATATAACCTTTTACATGCATACCAGTGATACTGCTACTAAAGTTACTAATTTTATAAAGGGTTGTTAAAAACCAGCGAATAATTGTGAAAAAAATTGGAAACCCCAAAAAGACAAAGAGTAGTAACCTGAAGAGTATGTTTTCGAGTGTTGAGACAATACTTTGTGAGAAGGATTTCCCTTGTCGCAGAGAAGAAACGTTGAAGAGTATCAATCGGTGAATTACCATGAACTTGTGATTATAATTTTTTTAGGTAGAATATTCAGGTTTTGAGTAAAGAAGAATCAATTTCGTCTGGTTCAGACACGATTTATATTGGGTTTGGTTTTTCTTCGGTTCGGTTTAATATTGTGGTTTATTCGATATTAAAAATAATGAATTTCATTTCCAAAATCAATCTAATTCACAGATTGGACCAATGATGGTCCTGTTTTAACTCTACAAAAGCAATTTTTTTAATAGATATATAATTTAAGTGTATTTGATGGGCCAGACAATGGGATTTAAAATCATATACTTCTAAAATGTGAATTCATTCACATACATAATTTTATATATATATATTAAGGATCTACAAATCTAGATTCATTCAACATGTATTAAAATTTTAAAATCTAAATTCAAGAGTGTATAATTATTTGCTCATACAACCAACAACATAAATAAGCTGAATAAAAACCAATTTTACATATTTTATATGTTATTCCTACAATTTCTATATATTCTTTAAACTTTAAAGTTCTTTGTGGTGAGAACCTCACAAACCTAACAACATCTCGAACACTTTCAATAGACAACTCATAATCTTTTTGTCCATCTCTCACCACCAAATTTATGATATGGGTAACACACCTCATATGGAAAAAACTCCCGACACCAATTAAAGCATTCTTGCTCTTAAATCTTTTTCTCAGATAAGAAACAACCAAATCACTACATGTTACATTGTCAAGGATAATTGTTGACACTTTTCTAAGCCCTCATTCCTTCAAAACATCCTCCACTTTTTTCTCAATGGTGTCACCCTTGTGATTTGGAACTAAACTAAAACTGATAATCTTTTTATGATAGTTTCATGCGGTGTCAATGAAGTGTACAATTATTGCCATGTAATTAAGGTTTTGAATTGAAGTCCAACAATTTGTGGTTAGTGCAACCCTAGCACAATCAGATTTAAAAAAGGCTTTAAGTTTTAACTTTTCTGCTTGGTAAAGCTGAAAACAGTCCCTAGCAACAATCCTCCTTGAAGGATATTCATTTGAGGTTGTAGTTGTTTGCATGGTTTCTTAAAACCCTCACTTTCTACCACTCTAAAAGAATGCACATCAATAAGTACAAAGGAAGTAATAACATTCATACATGCTTGAGCATTGAACCTTTGACTTGTTGAACCTAAAAAACCACCCTCACCACTTACAAGGTTTCTTTGAGTGGGATCTTTCTGTAAAAGGTTAGGGTTTTGATGACACACTTTTGAGTGAGCTAACATGTTGGATGTTCCATATGTTTTGGGGTCGCATCGGTATCTTTTGTGAGATTGTTTACACGCGACTATCAGTTCAGGTTCATCAGGTAAAATGTTAATGTCTAACCAAACAGTGGACGTTTTCCTAGTTCTACTAGCATTAACTAATCTTTTTTTCCTAGCACGGGGAAGGGGAGGAAGTGCGGATTCTACTTGTGTAGGTTCAACATTGGAAACAAGATGTTTCGTCACTGAAAATATTTTGGTTAACAACAACACTTAGTCCTATATTTTGACACTAAACATCAGTTAGTATTATAAAGTATCATTACACGTGCATAAGAGACTATCTCATGAAAGCAGGACTGCATAAGTAATTCACATGCATCGAGAAACTATTATGCAACATACACTCAGTCAAGAAATGAAACAATAATTCAATGTCACATATAATGAAAGTAGGCAACCATTTTCACATGGATTACTAATTCAAAGCAGGACTACATATGGCCGACTCTGGATTTTATGTATCTTTATGAGGTAATTAGTTAGAAATCCACGATGTATAAATATAAACATTAGAATAATCAGGTAAAAATATAGGTTTGAGTGATTCAAGTCAAATTTAGTATGAGTCACAAAAAATATTCACATCTAAATTATTAGAACAAATTTAATAGTGATGTTCAAACTCACAAGAACTGAAGTGCTTATCTCATATAGCTGGATGACACATTATAATAATCTTATCTTTAAAGTTATTTTTAAAAACTAATTGCTTAATAGTTAGGCATCATATACATATGCTTGACAATAATTTCACATGCATTACTAATTCAAAGTAGGATTGCAGAAACTAAGAAACTATGTTCTGCAACATACACTTGGTCAAGATGTGAAACAAGAATTCATTGTCGCATACATATATATCAAGTACTCAGATGCATTTATAACAAGTTTTCATTTTAAATCATAAGTGCAAACAAAATCTAACTCATAAATTATAAGTTTGCAAACAAAACTGATACACACACACTGATAAAACTTACACATTTACGTTCATGTCATACATAAAGATACACACAGGGAGAAAACATAGTCTATCATCAACCAACAATAACCAACAACCAGCAATACACACCATATCATATAATCTATCATATCATACCTAGTCACACTACTAAGGTAGAACTTTTAAAGACACATTGTGATCGGTGGAAATAGAACTGACTGTTTTGGAATGCTGGTTCGCGTTTGCGTTTGTTTTTGCAAAATGTCGCGGTAAGCAAGAGTCGCCACCGTCTTTTATTTTATCCAATAAGGAAAGGACAAAAGCACAGAAAAATTCCTTTTCGAGATGTTTCTCGGGTTCGGGAGGTAGATTATAGAAAGGGAAGGTGTTAGCACCCTTTCTATCTGTGGTTATCCACGGGCTCTTAGGTACTTGCTCATTATGTTTTCAAAAGTTTTGCTTTTCTTGTGTTTGTGGGTTTTGAAAAGAGTTTTGTTTGAAAACTTCGATTTAACTCTTGTTTCTGTCCTCAAGAGTGTATGAAGTGTTTTTTTGAAAACTTTGTTTGAAAAGTGTAAGTGCGAAAAATATGTTTTGTTTTGAAAGAGCAAGTACCTAAGAATCTCTACCTACTCAAAAGGAATTAAACTGTGTTAAAGTCCTTTAGACAGTGCTATCCCACTATTGAGGAGTAGGTAGCACCGTCGTTGGAGTTTTTGGGTCAATTCGATTAAGGGACATGTGGTCACTAAAGCAATATTAGGACGCCTTAGCGGTAACCATAATGTCTTAGATCATTTTTCCGAGGCAACCGTTTCGAGGCAACTATGATCTTTAGACAAGAGGACGACCTCTAAAACTTCCTATACCCAGTGACCACATTCGAGGCAACCAAGTGAGGCGTACCCTAGGAGTGGCATGTGCAAATGTGTCAATTTCAGTTATGTTATCTTTGTACATGTTATGGTGAGCTACGATTGATTTTAAGTTAAGATAGATCTTATCATGCATAGCCTATTATTCATACATCTAGCAGTTAATGGTTGTGGAAAATAAAACTAAGCTATTACAAGGCGTCGGGTATTTACATCGCCAAAAATAAACCCTTGAAAAGTAAGTTGCGAAAAATAAATAAAAGCGATAAAAAGTCCTAAGTCCAAAACTATTACATCCTCGGAGCAAATACAATTATATGAATCAAAAAGTAATACGCGCGAGAAAAATTAAATCAGAGAGTTTTGGGGTTTTGACCCCTTTTTATTTAACAAAGCATATTGTGATTGTTTTTTGAATTAAAGAAATTAGTCTAAATTAATAATTGAATTAATTAATTAAAATAAAAATATTTTTGGTTTTTTTTGTTATTTAAGGAAAAATAAAAAATGGTCAAAAGTTATTAAAAACCCTAATTCTACATTAATTTTATTTTGTTGCAAAGAAATGTTACAATTATGCCTAATTAAAAAAAAGTAAGTCAATTAAATTGTTTATTTACAAAAATAATGAAATTAATAAAAATAATATATTTTTTATGTTTTTTGATTTTTATTAGGGAAAATAAATTATTTGGTTAATTAAATAATAATGATAATAATTAAGTAAAACAAATAAATAAATAAAAAGAAAATATAAAGAGAAAAGAAATAACCCATTGGGGGGTTTGGGCTCAAATCTGGAGGTGGAATCAACATGCCCAAGGCCCAATTGCTGCAAGCCTGCGTTTGACTCTTCCAATTTCCTGTGACAATGTTGACTGGGCACTATGGTGATCCTTCATCCCTGGCCACCAGATTTGGCCTGGAGGCCATCTGGCACGAGATCAAGCAATGACGTATGGTGTACCACGCGTGGGGTGCTGCACATGAATATATGAAGAAAAATTGTAACAAATATTTGGGGGACCTGGGATTCTAACCCAGGTCCCAATGCTTCCAGGCCAACGCGTTTACCACCCAACCAAGCTGCTCCAATTGTTAATGTAATGGACAAATTATATTATATAAAAAAAGCAAGAAATATACTGGAAAACAAAAAAAATGCGCGAAATTCAAACACACGAACCAGATGACAACACGTCATCGTCTTCAACCTTGGTACTGCATAAATAGAGTCAGATAGTGGGGGTTTTTAACCTCCACTATCTCCTGCACGAAAAATAGCGAATAGACACAGAGCAAAAAGAAATATTTCGCGAGGTATGTGTTGGAATCGTCTTGGTCTCACGAATTCAACCATGTATCCCATTGGTTCCAATTTTTCATGGATTGGAAAGCCCTATTTGAAAGCTTGAA